GGGTTAAGTGTTGCTGCCCTCTTCATATTGGGAATTCCCTGTGATTACACACTGTATTCTCCCAGGTGACACATAAACTTTATTTGAGGAAAATATTTTCGGGAAAAAAACTGTATAATGGGAGGGGAGCAAGAAAGGGAAGAACAATTTTACTCAAAAGGGGAAGTGGGACCTCCTGAGTTAGTTTTATTTTAAAGGGTCTTAAAAAGTCTAACGTAAATTTTTCCTGTTGCAAAGGGCTTCATGTTATCCTCTTTCTTCTTTTAGAGCCAAGGATTCTTTCTAGGCCCCTGAAAGGTTTCCCTGAATGACATGTCCATTTCAAACATAAGTACATGCAGAGAACTCTGATAAGGTGCAAGAATAGGATTAGGATTGTCATGAGCAAGCCGTAGCAGAGGGAAGTGTGTGTGTGTGTGTGTGTGTGTGTGTGTGTGTGTGTGTGTGTGTTTGGAGAGAGGTGTAGAAGGTCAAGAGTCTGAAATAAATTTAGCTCCTCCTCCTTTTTTTCTGATCAAAATGACTATCAGGGGGAATTTTGTTCCATTTACAGGAGTCCAGAGAGAACAGGAATGAGGGAAGGTGAGGGAGAAGTCAAAGGGACCCCAAGGAGGCCCACTTCACCTAGAATATGTACTTCCTGTAGCTAGGGAGCATTCCTGGAATGTGCAAAGTTGCCTCTTAGGAAAGTGGTCCTGACTAGTCTCCCTCCCATTTTAGGCGCTTCGACTACAACTTAGATTCTGAATCAAAATAACTTGTCCAGAGTCTCACTGCGGTAAGTGAGAGAGCAGATTAAAGAACCAAAGCCTGTCTGACTAAAAACTGCTCTTTCCCTTACTCTCTGTTGGCAAAGGCAGTTTGGTGGTGGGGGGGGCGGGGTGGCGTCCATTGATATTTCTGGTACATTCCTTGAATTCCTCATTAATAGGGGAGGGTTGTCGGGATGCAGATGTGAAGATGGACATGGGGGAGGCACCTGCTGAGTGAGGACATCTTGTGCTGCTTCTCGTGTCCTCCCCTCCTTATGCTGTGACCCTTGATCACGCAGACACACCCAGTGGTGACATACTCAGGCTGCAGCACCTTGACTGCATGGAGAGACACCGAGGCAAGGGAGGTACATTTGGGGCAGAGTAGGAAACCATCTTATTCCTTAGGTCTCTGCTGCTTTTTCTCAAATACTCCATTTTTTTTGTGTGGTCATGTGTGTGTCTGGGGTGGGTGGCTGGTGCTTAAAGAGGAAGAGACACAGTATTCTGGGATCTATGACTTCATCTGCTACTTGGTGCAGGCAGACCTACCCAGGAAATCCTCCCCCTCTTCTCTGTTTGTTGAATCTCTATTTCTGTCTTCAGAAATCTTGGGCCATCTCCTCTTCCCACTAGGAGGCCTTTGCAGACGATCTCCTGAAGACGCTTAAAGAGAATCAGCAAACTGCTTGGCTTGTTTCATTTGGTTCTTGGGATAGGAAAACCCACAGGAAACCCACTCTTTCTCTTCTTTTCACAGATATGGGGAACACACTACTTCCTGTGCTCTATTAGGCTTGGCTGTTTGGTTATAAACTGAAGTTTAGAATTGAAGTTTTTTCCTCCCTTTCCTCCCAATATATGTATATTGTATACATTTCAGAAAAATGATAAATGTGAAACAAAACAGAAATCACCTGTTTATATCTTTACTCAGCGAAAACACTTAACATTTTAGAAGTTAACATTTTAGAAATATCCCTTCCAATAGTTTTATCTGTGCATGTGTAAAAACTTAAAAGTAATACATGCACCTATGTTTAGTAAAACACTTTTTAATTGTAAACTTAAAAAGTTTAAACAAGGCTATGGAGGAGGAACCGAAGTGTTTGTAATAGTTGGCAAATGAGCAAATCTTTTCTTAGCGCTTTTTTCCTCCTCTAGATTCTTGGAAAATGCCAAGTGGGACTGATAAAACAGAACAAGGTTGCCAAAACTGTGAGACTGTAGTATAGTAGAATAGGAGAGCTTGAGTAAGTCTAGCATAATTGCCTTGAAGCAGCATTTTGCCCATGGTTAGGGTTTCTGTTCCTCTCATTGCATGGTTTATGGGAGGGCCACAGTGGCTAGAAGTCAGGCACAGAGTGGCCAACAGCAGTCAAGGAAGGAAGCAATATGTTACTGCGTCAGGCCTGAGGGTAGAGTGAGGCTATACACATAGGATTAATCCCAAATTTACAGGTTAGAATGGGTCTAGAACAGCACTGTCAATAAAAATATAATGGAAGTCACACAGGTTATTGAAAATTTTCCAGTAGTCACACTGAAAAGGTAAAAAGAACCAGGCACAATTAATTTTAATAATATATTTAACACAATATATCCTAAATATGAACATTTCAGCATGCAATTAATAGTTTAAAATTATTAAGGAGACATTTTACATTTCATATGTTTAAGTTTTTGAAATTGGGTATGTATTTTACACTTATATCTGAATTCAGTTAGCCATATTTCACATGCTCAGTAGCCTCATGTGGATAATGGCTACCATATTGGATAGTGCAGATCTAAAGAAAGTTGGAGTTTTGCAGTGGGAAAAAGGACAGTGTAAGTGGTTTGGGACTAAGTTTGTGAATAATGGGAAGGTACTGAAGGCCTGTTTTAATGTGCTGTTAAACTATAAGGCTGTTAAACTATAAGGCTTATGACTTAAAAAGGGCTCTAAGTACAGGGATAGACAATTTGAGGCAGTGTTGAAGGTAGGCACAAACTGAGTGGCTTAAAACAACCAAATTTATCAATTTACAGTTCTGGAGTTCAGAAGTCTGAAATGAGGGTCCTTGGGGGAAAATCAAGCTGTCAGCAGAGCTATGTTCCTTCTGGAGGCTCTAGGGGAGAATTGCCTTTTCCAGCTTCTAGAGACTGTCTGCATGCCTTAGCTCATGACTGCTCTGTCCAACTCCAAAACCAACAATGTTGGGCTGAATCCTTGTGCTGCCGTCTCTCTGACTTTTCTCTGCTTCCCTCTTACTTTTAAGCATCCTTGTGGTTACATTGGGCCCATCTAGATAATCCAGGATAATTTCCTTGTTTTAAGGTGAGGTGATTAGCAACCTTAATCTTATCTACAACCATAATTTCCTTTTGCCTTGTAACCTAACATAATTACACATTTTTGAGATTAGGACATGGATAGCTTTGGAGAGCCATTGGCTAAGTCTCGACACTAAAGTCTTCCAAATTTCTGTAAGCACTGACCCCATAACTATGAGTTTCATGCATCCAATAATCTAATACAATGCATACATGTGGTTTTTCGCTCACACCAACCAAACATATGTTAGTCTTTTCCAACACCACATCTCCAACTCTCCCATACCAATGGGGTATCGTACAATTCAATTCAATTCTGACACTCACTACCTGGAATTAGTGTTGGCCTCCACAGGCTTAAGGGATCAGTCTCACAAGAGTACGCTCACTTCAGATGCCAGTTGCAAGTATCAGGTCCCCAGGTCCCCTCACACTTTTTTCTGACTTGGCTACAAGATCAGAGGTTCCCACACCCTCCCTTCCATTCAGGTTTGATGATTTGCTAGAATGATTTACAGAACTCAGGAAAATGCTATACTTACTATTCCAGTTTATCATCAAGCACGCAAAAGAACAGTTAGATGAGGAGGTACATAGGGCGAGGTCTGGAAGGGTCCCAAGTGCCGGAGCCTCTGACCCCATGGATTTGAGATGTGCCACCCTCTCAGCATGTGGATGTGTTTGCAAACTTGCAAACTCCCAGAACTCTGTTATTTAGGGGGCTTTATGGAGGCTTACTAACATAGTAATTTGATTGATTAAATCAAAGGCCATTGGTGACTAACTTAATCTCCAGCCCTTCTCTCCTCCCCAGAGGTTAGGTAGTGGGGCTGAAAGTTCTAAGCTTCTAATCAATGTTTGGTCTTTCTGGCAGCCAGCCTCCATATTAAAGCTATCTAGGAGTCTGTCAAGGGTCACCTAGTTAGAACAAAATACTCTACTATCACAGTGTCACTCAGGAAATTCCAAGGGTTTTAGGAACAAAAAAGACCTGGAGACAAAGACCAAACATCTCTCCTACTATGCCATAGGATATAATAATAAAATAGCTATTATTCATTAGTTTTTAATTTGTATCTGACTTCATACTAAGAACTTTATATACATCATCTTTTAAAACATTCACAAAAATCCTATTTATGAATACTTCCATTTTATCTAGATATTAATACTTTCATTTTAAATAAGGAAACTGAGACCACAATAAAAGTAACTAAATTTTCTCAGTTACATAGCCAGTATTGTTTATGTTTTTGGCAAAAAGCCAAAAAGTTAATGACCAATTTAAAATAGGAGGAGGTCTAGCTATTTATCTTTATAAATCAAAATTTAAAAAATTGACCTCTTTGGGAACTTATACAAAAGTCACCAAACTGAAAGTGCCTGTGTGATTCCACTTGGCATTTTGTATCCTGATCACCAGCCAGGCCCCCACCCTCACCCCTATTGTTGTTCATTATGCTGTTGTCAAACCTTAAGTATGACATGACGTATTATCAAGTGAATATCATACAGGTTGTCTTATCCATTTTAACCGTGTATTTAGTTACTTAAATTGAAATCCTTACTTTTCAACATTTACCTTTATTTACAGCTGATATAGGAAATAAATCTCATATGTCATTCAATAAGTTTATTCGACAAATATTTTATTGACTGCACGAGACACGCTTTGTAATGTTCTAGATGCTGGCCGAACAACAGTGAACACAACAAGGTCCCTGACCTCAAGTTGCTTACGTTCTCATGCGGAGTGACAGACAGTGAATGGCTGAGCAAGTCAATATATAATATGATATCAGGTAACTATAGATATTATGGAGAAAAATAAAGCAGTGTAGGGAGACAGACAGTGGCAGGAGGAGGGGGCACCCTATGTAATGTGGTCAGGAAAGGCTCACAGACGAGATGATGTTGGAGAGAGTTCTGAAGGAGGTGGCGGAATGAGCCATGCTGATATCTGGGGGGTGAGCATTCCAAGCAGTGGGAAGCACAGTGTAAAGGTCTTGAGGTGAGAATTCAATTGTTGGTTTTGAGGAACATCAAAGAGACCCATGTGGCTGTTGCTGAGTAAAGAAGAAAGGGATAGGAGGTTGAGCCAGAGAGGTATGGCAGGGGACCAGAACCTGCAGGAACATTGTAGGCCATGGTACTGGCTCTGGATTTTACTCTGCATGAGACCAGATCCATTGGAGAGCTCTGAGCAGATGAGTAATGTAATCTGACATATTTTAAAGGGCTCTCTCTGGCTAAGTCAAGAAAGAACAGTAAGATGCAAAGGTGAGGTGGACAGACCAGTGAAGAGGCTATTCAGTAGTCCAAATTAAAAGAAAATGGTGCTATGGACCACGGTAGTTGTAGTGGAGGTGATGAGAAGTGGTAGAATGTTGGATATACTTTAAATGTGGAGTTGATGGATTTCCTGATGGACTGGAAAAAAGAAAGGAGTGAAAGGATGATTCCCAGGCTTTTTGCCTGAACAACTTTAGGAACCAAAATGCCATTGATGAAGAGGAGAAAACTGACACAGGATAGGCCTTGGGAGGGGGCGAGAATCAGGAACTTTGCTGTGGGCTGCGGGCTTGGCTTTGTCCAGCACATGATAATGTACCAAATATGTGCACCATCATGATTGATCCAAACATCACAACTCTGTGAGGGGCTTTAATAGTACCCACTATCTGGATGAGGAAATTGAGATTCAGGGAAGTTAAAGAGTTTTGTCCGAGTTGACACAGCTGGTGCAAGTTAGATTTGGTGTTGAGCAAGGACTTCCTGTGTGGTCTTATATGTTCTCTTAAGCTGTCATATTTGCCTCCGCTTCTCACGGTTTGCAGGACCACAATAAAACAAAATAACCGGACAAATAGATAGACAGGCCACTGAGGTCCTCACATTGCTCATGACCAGAACTTTAGCTACTTTAGCTCATCCTACACTTACTTCAAATTCTCCTCTCTTTTCTCACCTTGTGATTCACAGTCTCTCTTGCCCTCTGAGCTGATTCTGGGCACCACTCTTCACACAATAACCTTTTACCTTGTCATGGCTTCTTACAGACTGTGCTCCTTCTGAATGAACTGCAGCTTCTTGATGGTAACTGGACACTTTAAAATACAGGCTAAATGCTCTTTTTAATATGGAATAAGTGTCTCTATTTCTACAATTTGCTTTTATAATGCAAATCTGGGTTTCTATATTCGTATACAGCCTTGGAAAAAGTAAAAAAAAAAAAAAGGTTAATTTGTATACATATTTTATCCCCATAGCCACTTTGCTGGGTCTGTGCTTTGGATGGGAATGTTGACTACATTTGTAATGATCATTTTAACTTCTCATAGGTTTTACCTGATCTTAGAAAGCTTAGAAAATCAAGCACTTACCAAAAAATTATATTAGGTAAGACTTATCCACTTTTCCTATAGTGGACGAATCACTAGTTTCTTTTTTTTTTTTTTGAGGAAGATCAGCCCTGAAGTAACATCCATGCTAATCCTCCTCTTTTTGCTGAGGAAGACCGGCCCTGAGCCAACATCTATTGCCAATCCTCCTCCTTTTTTATCCCCTTTTCTCCCCATGGCCCCAGTAGATAGTTGTACTCCATAGTTTCACATCCCTCTAGTTGCTGTATGTGGGACGCCACCTCAGTATGGCCGGACAAGCGGTGTGTCGGTGTGCACCCGGGATTCTGAACCTGGGCCGCCAGTAGCAGAGTGCACACGCTTAACCGCTAAGCCATAGGGCCAGCCCCCACTAGGTTCTTTTATATGATTTTTTTCCCTAAATATGTGTGGTTGCTACCAGATCATTGGCAACTTGGTAGAGAAACTAATAGGCAGCATAACCTAAAGAGAAAAGGAAACTTTGCTACTCAAGGTCAATCTGAAAGACGAGTCAGAACATCTTGAAATAGCCATATGAGTCCATGTCAAACTAACATTTGATATTCATTAAGTCAATTTTCACTAAACTTTCTGGGAATATACTTTTTAGTCAATGAGGTACACTTGTTTTTAAATACCAAGTAGTAATTGCATTCAACTGTTCTTTCATCAATAACTGCAGACACTGTTCTGAGTGCTGGGAGGTATAGCAGTGAACAACACTGAACAAAAATCTCTGCCTTCATGGGGCTTAGTTTCAAATGGGGAGAGGTATGTCTAGTGAAAAAGTTTAGAGTCAAGAGTAGGCAAGGCCTGTCTGGGATAGAAGAGGACTTGTTTGACTATAGTTGGGATTCCGTGGTGGAGAATTAAAAGAGATGGCAAGGGACAGGGAGGGTGTTAAAATATGAGTTCTGAGGGTGAGAGAGGATGTCAAGGTGGAGGGGAGCCAGCCTGCAGGGGTGGGGAGAGAAGTACTTAGCCTAAGAGCCTGTTCAGTGGGACAGAACTCTAGGTCTATTCAGTGCTCATTAAGTATTTATTGAATTGAAAAAACTTTATCTCATTCTTCATGTCCAGAGAACTTATTTTATGCAGATTTTTGTTTTATTAAAGATTTAAATAGAATTGTCTGTGAAAGGCTGCTGAAAGATTGAATCATAGAAATATTGGAGGATAGTTAAGTCACAGTGAGTGAGCTATTTAGAAACAGCAAATATAGGGTAGGAATAAATGAATACTTTTTTGGATGGAGAAGAATAGTTTTTGGGTTCTCCTAGTGGTCAGAAGAACACAAGATCTTCAGTATTATGATCTTTCTACTTCTTTGATGGATATAGAAAAAGACGTGTTGGGGAAGTCATAACACAGAAGGCATTGGTGTTGTGTCAGCTCTTCTTCAATAATCTTGTCAGGTGCCCCAAGTTCATAGCTTACACTAAACTTTTCCAGTATTCAACTGGCAAAGTAAGGGTTTCCAAACAGAAGGAAAATCTGGCAAAATTTTATATCTTACAAAGTGAAAAGTAAGCCCTTAGGAAGAGAAATATTAAAGGTAACATAATTAGGAGGAAAATAATGCAAACTATTGTTAATATTAGACTTTCTAAAAATGACACTTGCAGTACTAATAACAATATTTGAATAACAGAAATCTCTACATTTAAAAAACTCCCAAGGCTAGTTATACATAGACAAGATTATAGCTATAATATATAAAAGCATAAAATTATAGAGTAGGGAGGGACTCACAGGTCCACTCGTCACCCCTATTCAAATGATCATCCACATACCAGGGAAAGGAATAGGTCTTAGATTTATTACAGCTGATTTTCTGAAGACACTTAATTTTGTGTTGCTGCAGCTGAAGCAATACCAGGCACTATTAGGAATACCACGTCTTGGAAGCCACACCATAAACATAGTTCTATTCTTGGGCAAATCCATGCTTAAACAGAGCAGGGCCACAGAGCCAGGGAAAGAGGGGAAGCAGGATCTGGGTAGAAGATTGGGGAGCATTAAGAGATGGGGAAGGAATTTAAGTACGTTCATTTGGAAAGTATATTCAAAGGGAATTGACCTCACAAACGCAGGCTAAAAAGATCATGAATTCTCAGTCTCTAAAGATGAATACTAAGAAAATTATGATTCAAGTGATTAGAGTATAAAACCAAAAAAAATATGGGTCAAGCCTGGAATATTTTAAAGGGAAAATGAGAAAGAAAAAGGAAAAAAATGAGGCAATGCTACTTTAAATATAAGAGAGTCAAAATAGAAAGAGAGAGCCACATTAGACTATCAGGATCCCTGGGGTTTTTGCTCAGGATGGGGGGACAGGCTGAAGTAACACTTCCTTTAAGAGACCAAGGTGCCACTGAGTTGTCATGGATTGCTATATCCCTTGATCTTTTCCCCTCTGAATCCTGGCTATACAAATGGATGAGATTAATGCAATTTCTCCTTTTCTTTCTACTCTCAAAGAACAGTGAGCCCTCTATTTTTTATTCCCATGAACTTATTCCTAATCATTACAAGGATATGTAGGAAAGTTACAAAGAATCCAGAATCTTACAAAGATCTTACAGTCATGGCTTCTATGCTGTGGCATATTATTCTCTTGTAACAAAGTATAGGTGTAGGGCAAACTGCTATAGGCATAGGGACAATACCTAATTTATAGGACTGTTGTAAGAATCCAAAGGAAAAATACATGTGTAGGGGAGGAAGAGAATTCCTCTACCCACTCTAGGTCCTTCTTGCTGGGCTACAAATTAAATTGCATGAGACAGAATAACAGGAGAAAAGCAAACAAAACTTTATAACATGTATACATGGGAGAGATTCAGGAAAACTGAGCAGCTCAGCCATCTGGCTGAAGTTGTCATCTTAAACAGCATCTTCAGCTAAAGACAAAGGAGACTGTTGGGGGTAGTGGTTTGGGACTCAAAGGGGAGGAAGGCAATTCACATGGAAATTGAAAAGCAAATGTTTAGTAAACAAAACTTTGATAAGGATGGGCTTAGCAAGGACCCTCCCAGTCAATAGGTACCCAAAGTTATCTATGGTGATGGCCTGTCCTGGGGACAGGCATTCTATCTTAAATTTCTTTTAAGCAGTTAGTGGGGGGGAGTAGGGAGAAGGTGAAAGTTTCTTTCAGAGTCTTTTGTTCTTGAAAATAATCAAGGCAAAGAGACATATTTTGAGGTGTCAAATTCTGATCCTCCACACATTTAAAGAGCTTAATATAATGCGGGCCTGTAGAAACTGCTCAATAAATATTAATGATCATAGTCTTTACAAGAAGAGACCAATTTACTTCCCCAAATCATCCATCTCACTAGTTTTGGCCAGTTCCTCACCCAAAACACACACCCTTAGTGACAAGAATACTACTCCATCATGGCCCCTTTCCCCAACACCTAGGCTTTTTTTGCAGATGACTTTCAAATGTTTGCCTGGGAATCACACTAAAAAATACATTTTCCATTTTGACGCAGCACATAAAATTGTTTCACGAAACAGTTTTTACCCTTGCTGTTTGTGATTCAGTCTGATTTCAGG